ATATATATATATATATATATATAATTGAATTGTTTTTTGGACCATAAGTCGTACTTTTTACGTTTAGGCTGGGGGATGCAACCTTTACTCTAGATTCTCAATTAATTTACCATAATAAAACTATTTTACGAGACAGAGTCGCTCTACGTTTTAAAATGGCCACCGGAAACGGAAATGCAATGCATCATGGGTACTGTAGTATGGCCATTTCTTCCTTTTGCCGTCACAATATTATCATCTGAACTTCTCATGTTAACATATTTGTATGTCCAGTCTGACTTATTTATGGTTTATTTTTCTTTATAAAGGATATAGTGGCTCCTGTGACTTATAATCCAGAAACAGAAAGAAGGTAGAATATCATATATATAGATATCAGTACGGCATGGCTAACATTTAACATTAGCATGGCTAAGGTTTAAATTAACTCAGGAGCACAGACCTGGTATCACGGCTTTCAAAATAAATTGCATAGTGTGTGAATGGTGCTTTTCCTGTGCTGCCTGTCCCGTTTGGATGACTTCCAGCAGGAGAACTTTCTGGAAGTTGCTCCCACTCCACATACCAAAGGGTCGTCTTTTTGAGGCTCACCGCATGTCCAGTGCAGTGCAGTTATTTCTGGAGCTCTTTGGGATATTTCTAATCCCTCACGAAGTGTGAACTGAACATCTAGGTGTTTGAGACCAGATTCTCATTAACAAAAATCACTTTATACTTTTGTGGGACTTTGGTGCTGATTAAATTTGAATAAGTCCTTCCCTTTGCAAGATTAATTAAAGGAAACAAACATCTCTTTAAGACAATCGCAATCAAATAAAAATTTATATCCTTTGTCCAAGTCCTTGACAATCAGCTCTCAGTGAAACAAAAATATATATATATATTAACAAAAATCTCCAATTAAATGGTTGCATTCAGTCTCATTTATCTATTTGGAGGAAAAATAAAAGTTAACCCGGCTTTTGAAACTGGGATTTCTAAATTTCCGCTGATTCAATTAGTTTTGAAGCAACCCTCTGCTGCTTTTATGACGTGTTGGGTTAATAAGAACATTATTAAATAGTTGACCCCCAGAGACGGATTAAAAAGAGTGCAGCCCAGGGTTTAAGCTGTTAAAAACTATTACAAAACACACAACTGTCGAGTGACAACAGCCAAATTAAAGAGAACAGTCAGAAAGAAGAGCATGCCAGCCTTTCTGGACAGATTTATGAGCATAATCCTGTATCTAAATCTTTGAATAATCTTAGTCTTAGCATAATATATGTCTTAATATACTACTTAATAGTCTTAATATATCCCAATCTTTGTGTGAGAATTCAGTCAAAAGAGG